AACCTTTTTTTAGGAAGACTGATTTGTCTTAAAGCGCTGCAGGCAGTTATAAATTGAAAATTACTTGTAGAGAACACAGCTGTGATGATACAGTTTCTCTTGTTGTGTTTATGAAAATCAAATAGCGCCTCTCAGGAGCCTACTGTTGTTAAATGTGAGTGAAAATAGTCGGTTGACCGAAGATGTTTTCCAAAAAGGTATTTTTAACTGATGAACATATCGAATGGCAAAAACCCTCTCACTACGCTAATGTTTTATGACGTACTGAATCGAGTATGAGGAAAAAACGTAAGGCTTCTTGAAAATTGTTGCTTTTTGTATGTATATTCTTGTTAAATGGATCGTCAAAATACACAGCCACCTGATTTGTCTTAAAGCGCTGCAGGCAGTTATAAATCTCATTTAATACAACAATAGTAACACAGGTTAAGTCTTCATTAGCACAAAATACGAATTGCAACTTAAGTTAGAGTGCTATTGTTTTACATGTAAATACAAGAAAAGCGGCTGCGTTCTTCCTCTAAAATTCCCACCCTTAATTATCGTTAGCCCACACCACAAACAAGGAGTTAAATAAATTCTCTTATCCATTCTGGCATCACAACTTTAACAAAAGAAATAACCTTTAAAATTTTCCAAACTTTTTTCACCTGTAAGATTTTCAAAAGACATTTTCAACAAAATCACCTTAAAGTTGATAAAAGTTAGATCGCTGACATTTGTTTTTCTTAATAGGCCACCGAGTTAAATTGTTTGCAAATTGCAGTATATACACAGTGACAACATAATTCAAAATTAATATAAACGTGATATATTTTTTTAAGAATCTCATTTGTCTCGGATAAAAATAAATTGATATAGGTTCTTAATAATCTGTGATGTTTACAATAATGCTGTAAGTTAGCTTTTGGAAAATGCATCACTTGGCAGTGAGGTGCATAAACAACTTTGGAGGATGAGATAAAAATGTTTTTAAAAAATTAATTGGACGAAAATAGGCATAAATGTTTCTTTCATACCATTGGCATTTAACTAAATTTACAAGAAACAAATTTAAATTTCAGGATTTAACAACGGATTTTCTCAGGCCTGTGATATGACGAAAATGACTGTTAGGTAATTTGTCTAACACGGCACCGTATTATGCTGATAATAATGATGTCATTTTGAAATCTTGTTTACTACAACTACAATATAAAACAACTGATATATGGATCTTAATTTTTATCAGAGTGAGGCAATCAAATAGAGTTAGCCAGATATCTAGAATTATTAAAATAGTTTAGAAATTTAACAACATGTTGCTCTTTAAATAAAACTGAATGTGTAAGCGGTTATACCTCACTAGAGTTGAAGAGTTTTCATTGATCTACCTGGGACAGCTTTCAATTGTGAATGATTTAACGAAGAAGTACTTTCCAGATATATAAAATGAAATTAAGTTTCATTAGGGAACTGTAGGAGAGCTTGTCTTGAATTCATTTCTTTTTTTTTTTTTTAAACTCTCAGTATGAAAAGTAAACTTTTAGAAACAATCCAATCTGGAGAACTAAATTAAACTTAATAAGATATAACTGTCACGACTAGTATACTGTTTATATTATGTCTTATTGTAATTGTTTGTCGGTGAGAGCTCAGAGGTAACGGCTGGTCAGGAGGGCAAGATTCACACCTTTAAGACGATAGAAAACCGCCGGTTTCATTTCCAAAAAAAACATTCTCATTGACTTTAAGTTGGTCATTTAACCCTAAATATCATCATAATTTTGCTTTTTCCGTGATAATGGCTCTCCTTTAAGAGCAGTTTTCGTCGACCGATCGTCAGAGACGAGAAGGACATATTACAATCTCATCATAATACTCACTCATGTAAAACCTGCGTCAGTTTCACTTGATTGTTTTAAAATAATACTATTCTCATTAAAAACGATAACAGTTTAAACAGTATACGTATGGATATATGAACGAAATTTAGATCTGATTAATGAAAGATTTATTGAATAAAAACTTATATAAGGCGGACAATTTCGTTGAGCTCGCGATGAAGCTGAATCCACATCCTTCCCTTAACAAGAAAACCGGTGCGGTAAGCTTTATAGAAGCAATTCTTATATAATACCGTTAAAAGCAGCTACAATTTTAGCGAATGTCGATCCAAGAGAAGCTGGTATTTTATATTTTATTGAAATACTTTAGAACTTTGAAGATGAAGAGAGTTTAACTGTGAAAAGATATGATGAGTTATCTGATAGAACTGAAGGAAATGTGAATTTCTCTTAGCAGGTGAAATATGAGTATTATATAAAATGTCAAAAAAAAAAACTTTATCACCACGGTCTTTCCCTCATTGCTCGAACCTAAATGATCACAACACAAACGACCGAGAGATTCTTCTCATATCGCGGGTCAATTTTCAAGTTTGATAACCTTAGCGTCTTAAAGTAGTAATATGTCTTGCAATAGTTGCACCCCGACGCTCACTGATTCAAATACACCATCTCCTGTGTGTGGCATAACTATTTCAAGGCCGAAGGTCGACTGTGTCGAGGCATGCTTACGAAGGACCAGAAAATTTTGAGTACTATAAAAATTGAAACAAGATTAATTTCAGATTTTGTCGAAATTCTTTTAGAGTTTTAAACAGTTCAACCCCTTTTTTTCTTTAGTTTTGTCCTACACAACACAGAACACAAGTTCGAATAGAGTCATTTAGCCCTTAAGAAATCAAACCGAGTCAAACTTGTTATACTAGATAAGAGCTGAGTGTCTTTTGTTTTTTCTTATCTACAGTTAATCCCTGAGCAATGTACAACTTACTTCTTGGCCTGTTTCTGATCACATTCCAAGTGGGTTGCTATGGCGCCCCGGGGCCAAGGATGAACGGAAAACAAGTTGTAAAAAGAGCAGGTAAGTGGAAAGTACACTAAGCATATGCAAGAATAACTCTCTCCACACAATTTTTTAAGTGAGTCTCTTACTGAGTAATTTTCATGGCCATTACGATTTTCAAGTCATAACCTGTGAAATTTCTGGTTGTTTTGAAGGTAGTACCATTGTAATCTCTTCCTGTATTTCTGAAATGTGGGATATTTTGAACCATTTTAATTGGTCTTCATCAGGTTTTGTGATAAAAGGATTACACTGTATTTGAATTTTCAGTTTGCACCGAAGATCAGCTGGACAAAAATCCAGGATGTCTCTACTGGAAACAGAGTGGGTACTGTGATTATGAGTACGTGAAGACGAGGTGCCAAGAGAGCTGTGGCTTTTGTGATCGTAAGTGAAACCTAATTAAATCTTCATTTAATCCCTAAGATTGAATAGCGTCAAATCTCCCCACACAATATCACTTCGGTATCAAACATTAAGGTTAGGGGAATTAAGGAAAAGATCACCCGCTCAAAAAGCTCATTATGATCGTTAAATGAACGCTCCTTGAAGGTAGCATTGGAAATGTCTTAAGAACAGTGTGGAGAATATATGTACACTGATCTTAGGGTGTAAAGGACTAGATGAAGTTGAAAAAAAGGGGGATTCTAATATATAAGTTTCATATTCAAACAAGGATTTAGGTTAATTGTTGCTGAGCTGTTACTGCTAGCCTCTCAGAATCCTTACCTTATTATAGTCTCATCCGTGGTCGGTTATATACCCCATCTTAATCACTCTTTTACCACAAATTTTCTCATTTGTAAATCCCCACCTAACGTAGTTTTCTTACTCCCAAAATCTAGAAAATGTGCAACTCCATTCTAGCCTTGAACTCCATTGAAAATTGAACCCTATTAGGGTCAAATTAGTGATGAAAATGCGACCTCCCCATTAGCCTATTTCTGGAAGGAACCCCCCCCCCCCCCTCCTCCACAGTGATATCTCAAAACAGTAACGTAGTTATTGACTAAGACAGATCACAGACTTATAAAGATAGGTGTCGAAATAAGACAGAGACCTTGAACTAATCGACTTTTTTTCTTTTTTCAGCGCCACCTCCACAACGTAAGATCAAATAGAATCTTGTTAAATATTCAAACCGCATTTGTTGTAAACAAATTATAACTCAAGTTCCTTCATAGCTTAGCTGTTTGGACTTCTCAAGCGACACGCTCCCTTCTTCACAAAGAGTGCTGGAAAACCACCCAGCCTTCCATTTATTTAGAGTTCGTGTTTACAATATATATTCTCTCATATTTAAGCTTCTAGTTTTGCAATAATGCTTCAGCATCATATGAGCATAGCATCGATCGCATACATAGCGGGCGCAAAAGGTGAAACAGCACAAAGAGAACCACTCTAAAACCAAACAAAAAATGTGAGGCGGTTGAAACTTCGTTTGTCAAAACATCAAGCTTTAAAAACGGTAGAAAAAATTACGTTTGAATTGTACAGAGAGGCCATCTTGTCGATCCGCTTTCCATCAGTGTTTTTGCCTCGTTTTATACAGTAGTACCGTCACTTACATTGAGCCTTTTGTTTCCTTAATATGGTAAAATGGCGTAATAGAATAATAATAATATTTCCTTTTCCTCTGATAATATGAGAAGCATTCACTCGACAATTTCACAACTTAATTTTGAACCAGGTTCTATAGATCTCTTGTTGTTTGGATGATTTTCTTTATAAGTGATCTTTTTTAAAATTGTGTTTCATTTCCGTTTTCGTTTCAGCCGGTTTTGAAATTCTTAGGATCATTTGAATTTCCGTGTTTATAGCGTGTATAAATATCATTCATTAGAATATGGAACATATATAATGTTAAATAATATGAGAGTTACCGTGTCGTTTTTACTTTTTTTCATAATGCATATTCTCCACAGCGTGCAAAGCAAATGAGAACGATAAGAAAAACGGATGTAAAAGTTGGAAAAATCAAGGGTTATGTAAGAATGGCCAATATCACCAGTTTATGAAAGAAAACTGCTATGTTACGTGTGGATATTGTATAGGTAAGTGACATTCCTCATTTGCTTCATATAGAACGTTTCCCGAGATTGGTTCCTAAAACGTATAAACGAAACCAACTTTATCTAAGAGTGAACATGGTCATGTCAGGGACAACCATGAACACGTACAAAGCGGACAACCAATTTGCTATTGGTTCTGTTTTCAATTGCTGGAGAGGCAACCGTGAATTTCCTGACAACTTCGCGAACCAATTACACATCGAAGGATAGGTAAACCAATGTTATCGCAGATTACCTCATTTTTCTTTATTACGTTTCCAAGAGGCCGATTACTTCGCAATTTAATTTTTCACGTCAAGGAAAACATTACTATTAAAACTTCGGTTTCTAAGAGAAACTTTTGCAAAACATTGAAACGACTTGTTTACATAAATGACTTCCGAGATTCGTGTAGTTTTCTCAAACTTTTGCAAACTCAAAGAGGAGTGTCTGAAAAAAGTGTGTTATAAACCAATTATTGAAGTCAGGTTTTCGCATGGAATTATGAATCATTAAACCTCGTGTCTCTGTTATCTGCCTCAGCCTTGGGCTTCGGTAGATAAGTCAGACCTTGGCATCGATAATTCATGATATCCTGTTCAACCTCATCCAATAATTTTTTGATGTTGAAATATGATAGAGATCTTAAATTAATCAACATTTTTTCTCGTTTCAGCGCCTCCAACGTCACCTCCAAGAGCTAGTAAGAACAGATTACAACTGGTTAAAGTCCTAGACCGTATATATGTAAAAGAAAGCGTAACGCACTTTTCCTCGCAACCGTTGTTTGAATCGTCAAGCAACACTTTCCCATTGCATTAAAAGGCTGCTGAAATTTCCTGCCCCTCCTTTTTTCGTGAAGTATGCGACAAAACGTAGTGATCTGCGCTGCCTTTGCTTGGTTTGTGATGCAACAGGCTTTATTTAGAATTTCAGACCAGAATTCCCATCCCTTTCATAATATCCAACATTCAATAACTGATGCTGGCAAAAATAACTAAGCACGATAACACTTGGCAAGAGGCTTATGAAACATTAGACTTATTACTCAATTGTCTTATTTGATATAGGGGAAGTTGTTTAAATCTATTATTAAATTGAATTAAAAGGAGAGAAGATTCGAAAGATTAAACCACCAATGTAGGAAAATGGTAACGAGCTACAATAAATAAGGCCTATCAAAACTGATAAGTGAACCCATACACATATTTTATTGTTCCTACGCTAAGCTTTGTCGTTTAACATTTTTTCTTAATTTGTGTTTCAGCGCCAGCCCCACAAGGTAAGTTTTATCCAGCCAGTCACTGTGGTATGTAGAGAAAAAGACAAACCGACTGGCAAATAGAAAGATAGACCGACAGACAGACAGACTGACAGAAAAGATTGAATGACAGGAAGACTGACAGGCAGACTGACAGGAAGACTGATAGGCAGCTGACAGACAAACTAACCGACAGATAGGCTGACGGAGAGACAGACAGACAGAATGACAGATAGACTGACAGAATGATGGATAGACTGACAGAAAGACATAGAGACAGATAGACAGATCGACAAACAGACAGGCTGACGGTTAGACTGACGAACAGACTGACAGATAGACCAACAGAGAGACGGGCAGACAGACAGACAGACAGACAGACAGACTGATAGCCTGATAGACTGACAGGCAGACAGACAGACAGACAGGCAGACAAAGTGACTGACAAATAGACTGACAGACTGACAAAAAAACTGACAGACAGACTGACAGACCGATAGACAGACAGACAACCAGATAGACTGGCTGTCTGACAGGCAGACAGCCTGACAAGCACACGGACAAACATTTGATAGAAAGCAAAAATAAAGATCGTGACTAAAATACCACATGAGTCCTATGAGTGACATACAGGTAACATATGACTGAATGAGAGTAACGTTCGAATACATACAGAAATTACTGATTTTTTGAATTGCATGAAGAGCCATTTTCTCCCTGTCTTGGACTGATAATGCGAACGCACTCTTATGTGTCACTCTTCGTGCTTGTATGGTGCTTTTTTTTCATGATCGTAAATAAACGCACAGAGATAGGTGTAGAGGTAGACAAACGGACACGGAGAAAATCACTGTTCATTTACAGACGTACTAAAACAGAGCTGCGCAATATCCCAGCAGAGAAAATTAGCAAACATTAGTCCTAATCGTGTTCATTAAACACTTTTGCTCGAGAATGAGCCAAAAGAGGATTGGAGAGAGAAATAGAAAAGAAAATTGATTGATGCCTTAAAAGTTGTGATTGTTACTTATCTCACGATGCAGACACCATATTGAAGATGGTAACATTATGAGACAAAAACGATAGGTTAAAATAAAACTTTGATTTTCACCTCACTTTCCAGTGTACGATAGACAATGACATTTACTTCAAGTTTTAAGGTGAAAACCTGACAGAAAATGTGCTTTCAGCATTGCTTTTGCTAGTAAATTTAACAATGTCTTGTATCAAAGTAACCATAGCACATAGTCTCGTAATTTGTTCCGCCACGATATTATAAAAAGTTTTTAATCTCTTGTGTCCGCATAACTCTGCATAACCACTACTGATTAGTGTTGATAATTCCCACGCACATTTTCAGAGACTTTGACGTCTTTGATCATTTTCAATATGGTATTCGAATCATTTTTTTTTGGTTTGCTCATGTAGTGGACCCTGATGCCTGCCTGAAAGCCCATAATGAAAAACGAGCACTTCACCCTGGAACTCCAATGCTGGTCTGGGATGATACACTGGCTCAACATGCTAAAACCTGGGCTGATCACCTGGCTTCCAAGGGAACGCTGGAGCACGCAGAAAACACTAGAGAAGGAGAAAACCTTTATTATTTTGGGACTTCGGGCTCATATGTGGCGACATGTGATGATGCAGTGCAGGCTTGGTAAGTAACTTTCCGTTTAATGAACCCCACTCGATTGGACCTCTATTTACAGTCCTCCCTCGAGCCAAGATAGCGAAATATTATCGTCAGTTAATATTGACTTCGTAGTGAATATATCTTTGACGAATGGTTAACTGCAACAGATTATTTTTAGTCCGGATATTACTGATAAAAATGTTGCTTCTTCTTAATAAATTTTAAAGGTGATGACATCAGATGAAATTATCGGATTATGGATGTTGTTTTTATCTACAATCAAATTATCTTATCGATTTACATTCAAAGAAATGAATATTAGCCATAGCGTAGAATCCCTCATCAAATCTTGTGCTCTTTCTTCTCGCTCTACGTCTTTCTGGACTCCGTCTTTCGCTTAAGCTGCCTATGAAAATTAGGCTTCTGTGTTGATCTTGCAATCACAGGTACGATGAAATCAAGGACTATGATTACCAAAACCCTGTTTTCAGTCTTAGTACTGGCCATTTCACCGCGGTAAGTTGTGTTTGTTCTCAGCTGTGGGTACTCAGTTGTCAAATAGCATGCTGATTCAAACACGAAGTTGGTTTTGAGTGAGTCCAAATGGTTGTTTACGTTGCTTTTCTACAACGATCACAGATAATGCCATCAGTTATATCCAATGATGTTATTTTCCAGTTTCTCTATTTTTGGTAATAAGAAAGTGGTCTTTTTATCTATGTACTTCAAATGTATGTGTGTATTAAATTTATTTACAAAGGACGACGACAACCAGTTAAGAAAAACTTGCGGCCTTCAAGTTGACAATTTCACAATTTAAATGTCTAAAGATAATTCTAGGGAAATTGATGCCTAAATATGAAAAAAAAAAAACCGGTTAACCAAAATCAAAGTTCTCCCTTTTAAAACTCTACACACTTTGGCATTTCCTAAAATATTAAATGCATAAAAATCAGTGAGGCTTATTATTTAATTATTTACACCTTTACTCTTTTTCCTTTTTTTTTTTAATTAGGAAATTACAAAATTTTGTCTGAAATTAATCAACTTTGCGTCACTGAATTTAATTTTGCAGGTGGTTTGGAAAAGCACCACTCGTGTGGGAGCGGCTCTTGCGAAAGTAGTGGATGGCGGATACACCAAGACTTACGTCGTGGCGCGCTACTTACCACAAGGAAATACTAAAGGACGCTTCGCGGAGAACGTGCTGCCTTTGGCCTCATAGGTAAAGTCTTCATTTATGTGTAAGTACTAATTGTAGCGCCTCATTACACCCGTAAATTTAAACGGATATGGTAAGTCTGTAAGTCTCTAACCAAGCGATCCACCCAGGCGGAGCTTATCCCGGTTTCCATGTAGCATGGAACGACTGCGAGTATTACTTCTCCCCCCCTGGAGGAAGTACTGGTCCATCGCAAGGTTACCCACCAACATTTCATCAGGCTTCCCTGACAATTTTCCGGTCCCCATTTATACTCCGGGAGGGAGAGAGGCATGGTGAGTGGAAAGCGTCTTACTCATTAACACATCACATTGACGCAGCCAGGTCTCGAACCCAGACCTCTCCACCCATAGTCCAGTGCACCGACCATTTGTCCACTGTATCTCGCAGTATCGGAAAACTGTCAGGGAAATCTGATGAAACATTTTAGGGTAACCTAGTTATGAACTAATGTCACTAACAAAAGGATTAAAATACTCTGTGTCATTTCATGCCACAAAAATCGGGACTAGCATCTTTATCAGTGTGCGTCACTGAGTCCCATAGGCAGACTTACTGTAAGAGGTAACACACACTGACATAGTCACATAGGGGATGGACATTATATCCGAATGCGCTGGAGCCAAAATGGCTGACCAGATAGAAAACTTCTGTAAACACCAACACATTTTTCTTTAATCGAAGTCAGGTTTGAAGGGTTTAATGATACATTTTCATTAACTAAATAATTGAGAAATGGCAGTTGTCGGTAAGTAAGTAAGTAATTAAGAAAGTAAGTAAAGGCATTATTTTAAGAGGGCTACATTGAACAGTAGTAAAACACTGATAAACTCGTTGCCGTCATTGCAATATATTAAAAAGCTCTAAGAAATCGGTATTATAAAAATTCAAAAGCTATATACAGCGCAAAGTTAAAAACTTAAAAATAAATATCTTATCAAAAATGAAAAAGTACAAAAACGTTTCCTGTATCAAAATGACCCCTAGTTACATTAACAGAATTCTAATCACATATTCGGATATCCACAATCGAGAGATAAGATATTCCAGCTTAAACTCGTTTTTACAGTTAGGACAATTAAGCAAAAATCACATTTGAAGTCGAGGAGAAGCTCTCTATTCATTTAAAAATTTCACGTACAAATTGCGCTTAAAACTAGCGACTGATGCCTTCTCCCTAAAGCTGGACTCTATAGTATTCCATTCCCTATTTTCCTAACCGTAAAAGTCTGTTACCCCCAGGTTTTCCTGAGTACTTTGTACAAATCGAGGGTAAGCTGGAATATTGAGTCTCTGTTTTTGAATATGTGTAACTAGAAGTGTTTCCTTTTATTAACGAATGCTTTGTGAAAGGAAGACAATTAAGGTTATTAAAAACGAGTTATCGTAGTACTATGTAGTCTCATAACTTTTTTAGAAACAGGGGAAAGGGAGGTTTCTGATCGTTACCTATCGGTTGTATTATGGAAGGTAAAAGAAGATCAGGAACGAATCTTTTGTTTACATAATACAACTATTAGAATTGATTTCCTGTTTTATTTTTCCAGAACATAGCTCTATAGTTGAGGAGGTCGAATGGATCTCAAGAGGTGCACCTGGTTTGTCTGTGTCGGATACATAACATTGTAACTTTAGTCTTAGACCTTAAGCGGTGCCAATAAAGAATCAACTGATAACACATAAGGACTCCCACAAGTATGCTTCACATGGCCGGTATTTTCGTTCTTCCTATACTGCAGTTACCATTTAATAAGGGAACAGTCACAGTACTGTAATAAAACGCTTGTTGTCCCGGCTGACATCTCAGGTTTTTGAGAATAGCAAGTGTACTATTTTAGGGACCAGTCAGCTCGCCTATCGCCTAGGGAAGGAGGATTTTTTTAGGGAGGGGGGGGGATCACAAGGTTTGCAAAGGGAAAAATGAACTGCAATTTAAAAGCCAGTGAGGAATATTGCAAAATCTTATGTGGGGATCTGGTAAATTTACCCCCCCCCCCACCCACCCCCCCTCGGCGGTAATAATCATCACTCTCTTGAGTGCTTGATATCCAATAAAAATGAAGACCTCCTGCTTGTCGCAATAAAGTCGGGCATTCTCCCCTCCGAGGTAACCAAACTGAGTTGATAACGAAAACTGGCCACCGTAAAGAGTTTTAAGAGCTGAAGTTTCGAGCTCAATCGCTCTGACGAAGGGCGACAACTCTAAATTAGATAAACATAAATTACCCTGTCATACCCTTCCATCGACGGAGCACCACGGTTTCTTTAGAAACTTACTTCCTTTATTACGACTAGAAACCACTGGTTTTCCAAACGAACTATATTGAAAGGGTGGTTAACGTGGAGAAGCAGAAGCAGCTAATTGTCACAAACCTTTTTCCCGACATGTGTAAGAAGCCGCTCCTTGTTTTTCTGTGCTGAACAGAATGCGTTACACTTTATTTCAATCATTACTCTGATTAGGTAGAATTTATGAATTGAAGCTGAAATTGTTATTGTAAAGTATCTTTTGAGTATTCAAAGGCTGTTTTTTGATGTATAGATAAAAACAAGGTTACCTATCCTGGCAACCCCCGCGCTTATGGGTGGAATTCCACCCATCATTTCCGCTAGTCTCGTAGAATATTGCGTTACTTCCGATTCTTTCCAAATTTGGTGTGTATGACGTTGAAATGTTAAACAAATCATGTAGCGAGTTTGGAGGGCGAC